TCTTGATAAAAACATGTGTTTACATCTAGTGATATTGTGTGTATATAAAACAAAGTAAGAAGACAGGTAAGTATTTTTGAAGACAATTTATAGGTAGGCAGAACTAATTACAATTATTATCTAAATATTATAAATGCGAAAGTTTGGATGGATTAACTCCATAAATAAAATAAATAATTAATTATAATTGCATAAGTTGATAAAAAATGCTATGCAATAGCTTTACCGCGGCAGTCCCCGAGTGCCACACGTCTTTTTTTTTCAGTATGAAACTAACAAGTAATGTACCATTTTACAATCCTGATTAAATGCGGGAACTTTTAATGACACTTGCCAAGGCTTTTTAGTAAATTTTTTTAAGGGAGGGCTTTTCAAAGTCGACAAATTTTGACAATTTTAGATTCATAGTTTAACAAATAGTCTTAATTCTAGAAAACTTGGGGCAGTTGTGTCATTATTTTTGACTGTGGTTCTAGAAATGTTATTTAGGGTTACGGTTCCAACGTTTAAATGAACAAAAATAATAAAAATTACCCACAATAACCGAAAAACGGTTACAGTTTGACCAAATTTCTAGGTTTTTCTTAAATGCCCATAATTTCCAAACTGCATGTGATAGATTTTTTCTGATTTTTCTCATGATGGTTACAATCAATCCTGTCACCCCGTTTCGGCTTGACGTTGAGTTCTGGGGACACCCTGAATATTAATATTGCGCCGTCACAATAGTCACAATAGCTTTGCAATTATGCGTATAAGCAGGTACTGTTCCATAATACACATGACAATAGTTTGTTTGTTTGTTTGTTTGACAAAAATTTGTAGCAAAAAACGAGAGCTAATGTGGAAATATAGGCTTAAGCAAAATGAGATAAACAAAATGAAATTTAAAAAATATGCTAAGCTTTATAAAAAAATTATCCAATTAACACAACGAGTTCAAAACAACCATAAAATAATAAATCTAAAGCGAAGTGCGGGCAATAATAAATAGATCAAAAATTAATTCATCATTTCCATAAAAGTAGGTAATAAAACTTTAAGTAGTCTACAGGAGATCACGAATGCCTTTAACAACTTTTTTATAGATAAAATAAAACATATGTCGCGCACGGGAAAGCAAGTAACTTTAAATATTGTCAAATCAACTCAGTCAATGTTTATGGCACCGAGTACACCATACGATATACTTAAAATCATAAGTTCACTAAGAAATACTACAAGTGTAGGGCATGATGAGATCTCAACTAAAATTATAAAGTGTGTTGGTTATTACATTTGTGATCATCTCAGCCATATTTTGAATATTTGTATAAGCACAGGATCTTATCCGAAAAGTTTAAAAAATTCCATTGTCAAGCCATTGTTTAAAAAAGATGACAAAGTATGAACTGCTATAGACCCTTTGCGCTTGAGTCTATACTAAACATAAAAATTAAACATTCTTACAGAAGACCAAAAAGGATTCCGCAAAAACAAGACCATAAATATGGCTATTTTTGATTTTTTAAATAGAGTGATGATGAATGTTGACAAAAAGACACCGGTATGCGCTATCTACTGCTACATGACTCTGGCTTTCGATTATGTTAACCATGACATTCTGCTCAGTAAATTAGAAGCCTATGGCATCAGAGGAAACGTATTAAATCTCATGGAATCCTATCTTAAAAATCGAACACAATATATCGAAATTTCTAGAATAAATATTAACACCAAAAAAGAAAAAATATGCATATCAAACAAACAAATAGTTAAATACGGTGTCCCACAAGGGAGTGTGTTACGTCCTTTGTTGTTCATCATCTACATAAATGATTTACCAAAAATTACAAAATATCCAATATCGCTCTTTGCCGATGACAGTACGGTAACAATAAACTCCATCAATCAGGACAAATTTGAAAGTGAACTTAAAAATACAATCAATTTAATAACAAACCGGTTAAATAATAATAATTTAAAAATAAATCTTCAAAAAACTAAAATTATGTACTTCGGTCAAGGCTTAGCAACACCAAATATTAACGTTAATTACCGAGGGACAGAAATTAACCAAGTAGACACAACAACATTTCTAGGTATAACCATTGATAAAAGTTTGAACTGGAAAGCACACAAAGAAGAACTAAACAAAAGAATTAGTTCTTCTGCTTATGCACTCTATAAACTCTCATCCGTCGTAAGTACTGATGCGCTTCTCACGGCTTACCATGGTATTGTTGATTCCATCTTGAGGTTTGGCATCATATTCTGGAGAAATTCTACTAATAAAGAAATTATATTTAAGTCCTAAAAAAGGTGCGTTAGAGCTACGTTCGGTCTTTAAATTACTGATAGCTGCAAACCATATTCCATGTCGACATGGATAATGATCACTTTACAACCGATATCGGTAGTTAAGTCATAACGATAACGATCCGAATACAATGGGTGCGTTCGGCAGAAAAAAGCGCTAGCAAGCGCTTGTAAGCAAAATGGCGATCGTAAGCGGTAAGCGCTGTCAAATCGTAAGTAGCTATTTTCCTCCAGGACACGATGTTAGTTTTAACCGGGGAATCTAACCTAATTTAAATATATGTTTGTAAAGTATTCATATTAAAACTTACCAATCATGAGTTTTTAATAGCATGTATATGTTTATTCATGTCATTATATTACTTAAAACTAATATTGCACAAAACAACTTATAAACTCTACTTCAAAACAAACAAATTAAATAAGCAAAATGGCGGATTGTGTCAGCGCTACTGAAGTAGCAATCGTGTCCTGGCCGAAAACTATTTTAGCGCTTATAAGCGCTTGCTAGCGCTTTTTTCTGCCAAACGCACCCAATGATTTTTGGTAGTATCTACTGTCAAATCTATCGATTTATATCGGTCCGTAACGAGCATTATCGCACTTTACGATTATTCGTAAGTAATGAATGTAATGAGGAAGTAATAAGTGTTTGTTATGACCATAAGCTGTTTAAAAATTTGTTTTAGTTCTATCGATTTAAAATCTATTATAATATATAATTATAAAAGTATTAAGTAATTATGATGGAATCATATTTAGCATGAGATTTGTCAGTACTAGAACACAGGCGCGTTATGGTTATGCGGCGGCAAATCGCACGAAACCGGCGCGAAAGTGAAAATCCCTTAGATTTAGAGGATAGTGAATTCCTGTACCTTTACAGAATTACAAAAGATATGGTTAGCGAGCTCGTAGGTGCACTTCGGACATCTCTTCAAAAACAACGGACTTTTTGTGGAGTCCCAAGTGAGTGTCATCATGTAATTGCCTATATACCTTACCTTTAAAAAACTAACTATTTTTCGTTTGTATTAACTCATATTTATTTTCTTCTAAATAGGTACTGACGGCTTTCCAATTTTATGTAAGTGGGTCTATCAACTACCTGTTGGCCTGCAGTGGGGTAACCGACGCTATTAATGAAAAATTATTGACAAGATATATAAAATTCCCTATGACCCATGAAGAGAGGCGAGTAGTTAAAGAAAAATTCAGGAATGCCCCACAGCCATTTCCGGATGCGATAAGAGCCATAGACTGCACACATAAAAATTCTAGCTCCAAAGTTGCAAGAAGAGGCATATGTGAGTGGTCACCATGAGCGCCATTCATTAAAATGTACAAGTTGTAAGTTTATCTTAGTAGTTATTGTTTACCTATTTACTTGCTAGTTAAGTTTCGAGGGCGGTGCTGAAGCTTTTTAAAACGACTTAATATTATGTCTCGATGACATTTATTACTATTACATTGCAATAATGTATTAAAACTATTTCAGTGCTATACTGACTTCCTTAACTAAGTGATTACTACTATGAGAAATATAATAGATCTTATTCTAAATTCAAGGGCTTTTATAGGATGGACGAAACAAGTATGTTGACTAAAAGTAGACATCTTGGTTTGACCAGCAATAACAATTATACAGTGGAGACAGCATCTTTTGTAACATGTTTTCAGTAATCCAATATCAAAAAACTTAATTGGCCCAATTCATGGTCAACATGATTATGTATTTAAAAAGTTAAAATATACGCGATAAATTCCGTAAAAACTAGTAACATGATTATGGTTAAAATTATGGCTATTTGCTATTATCATGTTTATGACTAATCTAATATCAAAAGCTTTGTCAGGAAAATTTGGGATTAATGGGTATTAAGGCTATTAAGACTGCATAACTTGCTTGAAAACATGAAAAGAGTATCTTCCCCTTATTATTGATAATAAAAAGTGTTACTGGATACTTTAAACTCAGCAGTTTAGGTGAAAAAGTTTAAAAGCCATCAAAAACATAACTTGTAAAAAAATCAAGTCTCGCAACTCAGTCCTTCTACCGTAAAAAGTTGTGAGATCCATGCAATACAAAGTCGGTTAGTATTAAGGGTTCACTCTGTAACATCATCAATAATCAATAAATCTGTTTACTTATTTATTAGCACAAATTATATTACTATGTAACTACGTACCAAAAATAAAAAAACTTGTTACGGAAATTGTGCGTGTAATAATTTTAGACCAACGTAGGTTAAGCTAATTTACTAACATAATTATGCACTATATGTGGGTCTAAAATAAATTAAATTATTATTATTATTATTAATTATCTATAGTATTATGTTATATTAGAATTATCTTAAAATTTTATGTTTTTATTACAGGACGAGTAACAGGCATTGTGTGAGCTGCTGCAGAGCGTATATAAAGAAGACTCATAAATACTGCTTTTACTTAATTATCTATAGTATTATGTTATATTAATAATAATGTAAGTATAGTAATGATGTGTATAAGTAAATGTTTTATAATAATTGTATAAAGTAATATATTGTAAATTGATTTTATTTTAAACAAAAGTCCCGTGGGGTTTCTTGCTGGTTCTTCCCAGGACAGAGGTTTTGTCTGAACCAATGGTATAAATAAAAAATTACTAAAAATCTATTCTATTATCTGAATTGAAATAAAACATTAAACATCCTAATTTATTTTTTATTATTACTTACAAATAAGATTAATGCATCTGCTATTTTATTTGCAGCCTGTGCTATCAAAAGAGACGCCTCGCTCTGCGCTTTTGCTGCCTCTGCCTGCATTTTGGCAGCCTCTGCTTGCATTTTGGCAGCCTCTGCCTGCATTTTGGCAGCCTCTGCTTGCTTTTCAGTTGCAGCTGCCATCATCTGTAATGAAAAATACAGATAGATCGAGAAATGCTTGCTAAAAGCATGCTAGTGAATCTTTGGGATAATGTATGCTATAGCATATAATATCTCAGACCAACAATAGCTTACATTGTACACAAGCACAGAGTCCACCTAATGTTTTGACACAACCCATATCTATATCTCTCCCCCCCCCCATTAAGAAATAAAATGCAGATGCGTCGTCACCCCTGAGGACTCAAATGGAATGTCTCGTTACTAGTCAAGGGTTTAGGTTAGGGTTAGGGTCTCCGGTTTACTACACTAATCATAGGCGTAGTTCTTCCCCGGTCGAGCAGACCCATTCGTGCTACAACTATACTACTAATATAACTGCAGCATGGCTCTACCATTTAAAAATATATATTGTTGGTTCATTCTTCTGTTTAGTATAGAATGTAGATGTAATGTTATAACATACCCTCATTGATTCTGCATTTGATTTTGCATTTGCCAAAAAATCCTGATAACCTACATTGGTTTACTCAGCTGCAGTTTGGTGAGGATTCAGATCTAAAAATAACCAAAATTTATTGCATTATAATTAAAATAATTTTTGGCTTTATTCCGCTCAAGCTGATCATCTTGTGAACTAATGTTTATATTATTAGCACTTAATTGAAATTCAAGCCTACTCCTTATCTTCCTGGGCCTCTCTTGTCGTAAAGTGGGTGGTGATGTAACAACAGCTTAAAAATACACATGAAATGATTATAATCTTACTAATAGCATATAAATGTGAATATTTGCAAAGATTTTTGTTTGTTTATTAATCACACTAAAACAGCAGAAGATATATATGAAATTTGGCACATATACCATTTTATCTTGAAATAGTGGATAAAACAGTGGAGTACAGAAATATATAATGTAATAATAATAATAACAATGTCCTCCAGACCGAATTTCGGTCACAGGGGCCTGCCTCAACGAGCTAGCCATCGGCGCAGTACAGGATTATAGCGCCCAAGTGTATGCGCAAGTACAGGTGCACTCTCTATTCCCTCACTCTCATAATCCGATGGGACTGTAATCCGAAACGACCAGAGTGAGATCAGGCGTAGGACCAGGTTTCACGTGCTTTCCGAGGCACGGGGGTGAAACACCGCCAACTTCCTGACTCCGGGCAGCTACTGAGAATTTCTTGACAGAAAAACTCAATAATTGATTTTTCGGCCCAACCCGGTATTCGAACCCAGGACCTCATGGTCAACAGTCGCATTACTACAACTACCAGACCAACGAGGCAGTCAATATATAATGTATGTAAATAGGAATTATATGAATAACAAAAATCAAACTAACTTATTTGTGGTGCTGGTGGCTGCATAGTTTCTTCTTGCACTTGTTGTCCATTGGGAGCTGGTGAAGCAACAGCTGTAGCCATCCTGCCACTTGCTACTGAAATAATCAAATACATTAAATATATTAGTGAAATATAATCATGTAGAGAGGTATGAATGTAGGTGTAGTAAAAATAACATAAACTCACGAATTAGTGGTGCTGGCGATGCTTGATCTCCCTCTGTCTCTAGCAACTTGTATTCATTACCTGTAACTAAAATGTGTTCTAGTACATTGTAGGTAAGTACACTTAAAGTGCAACAGAATTTACATTATATTTTTAATATATACCAGAAACTTACATTCAGACAAAGAAATAACTTCTATCATTTCCACCTCCTCCTCCATCTCATGTTGTAATGTCTATAATAATTAGTAAAAGTATTTACTATCGTAAATTGCATTAAAACCAAAAACTAAGATTATGAAGTTTGATTGAGTTTACGAAATTGTATATAAGTAATAATTGAGAGTATACTACACACTACTGAACTCACTTCCTCCTCTGGCATAGAGTCAGGGCAGTCCTCAACACCTATCAAGGACACAATTTTTTTTCCACCTCAGTCAATGGTGCAGTGGTGATGCCCTGGTTGCCAGTCTTCACCCTTTCTCTTCTTAATTTTTCCGCTTTAACGCAGGCCCGGCTTTTGAAGTCTCTCCATACCTACAAAATATATAATTATGTATTTTAAGTAAATATTAGTTACATTGGTGCTGCATAATGTTTGGCTGATTTATGTATAAGCCATTATTAGTAAATCTGGAAAATTCTTTGATAGAAACTTAACTGTTATCCACTGCTCAGGTGTCTTGACTGATCCGTTGGGAAACTGGTTGAGCTCGTCGGCAACTTCCCTCCAGCCCTTTTCAAAGTTTTCTTTGCCCTGCAGGCTACTAAATCTTCTATTATATAAATATGGTCTAGCTTCTGGCTAATATTTCCAATATGGACCATCGATTTCAAAGCCCATATTTTTTTTGTAGATAGTACTCACTAAAAGAAAGCGTTTTGCAAAGTTTTAGGGTTGCGGAAACTTACAGTTCATGAGATATATTTTTTTTAAACTTTTATTTATTTATTTAAGCTTTATTTGCACACATAAAAGAAATGTACAAAACGGCGGACTTAATGCCTAAAGGCATTCTCTACCAGTCTACCTTTGGTTTGTGCAGAGAATCTAGTGATGGGTGCAAAACTCATAATTAAAAAAATTAAAGGTTTAAGGAAAAAATACAAAATTATAATATAATGATAATAAACAATACACATACATATACATTTACATTACTACTTACATGCATACAATATTATTTTATATATATACACAAATACCCACAATAAATACATACACAATAAATAAATATGATATTTTTATACTATACATACTTGAGAATATAACAGTTTCTGAAGTTTTTAAATTTTTTATTATAATCCGAAACTACTACTGCTTCTTTAAGTAATATTCCCAGAGTAAACGTTTAAAGATAGGTTTAGTTTTTGCTTCTTTTATATTTCTGGGTAACATGTTCCAGAGTCTTACTGCATTTGAAGTGAAAGAATTGTAAGAGAAGCCCGTGCGACAGAAAGGAACATGAAGAGTTAGATTTTCCGCGGAACGAAGACATCGGTTGTGAGAATCACCCTGATACTGAAATTTGCATTTCAGATATGCAGGGACAAACGGATCGTGTAAAATAGAGAATAGCATAGAAAGGATTCTAAAAGATCTACGAAGTGGAAGAGGCAGCCATTTGAGCTGAGAACGGAATGAAGAGACGTGATCGAATTTACGTAAGCCAAAGATAAAGCGAATACAATTATTGAGAAGACGATCCAGTTTGTTAAGAAGTTCTTGAGAGGCATTAGCATAGCATACATCTGCATAATCTAGTATTGGTAATACGAGCGTTTGAACCAACATTACCTTTGTTCTCACTGGAAGAAAATTCTTGAGTCGACAACGCAAGGTGTTGATAACTTTTTTGCTTACTTCCGTGACTTGCGGCCGCCAACTCAGACTGCTGTCAATGATAAGTCCTAGATTTTTCACAGTAGCTGAATAAGGTATGACAGCATTATTAAAATTTACAGGTGGCAGTGAATTAAAATCCAATATAGATAAGCGACGGCTACTTCCAACTATAATTGCCTGGCACTTGGTAGGGTTAACAGTAATACCGAATTTGCTAGACCAATCAGAGATACGAGTGAGGTCAGAGTTTAGCTCAGTGATTGCATCTTCGATATCGTTAACATCAGACTGAGCATATATTTGTAAGTCATCGGCATAGAGATGGTACGTGTAGCGAATGTGAGATGTAATGAGATTTATAAAAATTGAAAACAAAAGAGATGAGGGGTTTTCTTTAGTAATCTGCTGCATGAATATATGGTCGCCGAGTGGGTGGGGGAGGGGGGGGGAGGGGGCGGAACCTCCCCCTGAAAGGAAAAAGTGCCGGAAACCCCCCCCTTTTTTTTTATGAATTTTTAAAGTTTTGTTACATTTAAGGAAAATTCGCTTTCGTTTAATAAAAAAAGGGCGTCCGGCGACGAAAAACTCACATTCGGGTCCCGGTGGGAATGTGGGAGTATTTAGAGTGGGAAAAACGGTGGGAATTAACACTATTTTGACTCTGCTTCTGCTCCAGCGCTGCGGGAAGTGCAGCCCTTTCGCCCTTGCGTAACTAAGCACAGGCACCTAGCTCACCTGCGCAGCTTCGGCTGTTTGGTCGCCTTCGGCGACCAGCCTCAGCCGCTACGGCTCGTACGCTGCCTACGCTTAGTTACAGCGGGCGAGGGCTGCATTCCCTCCGCGCTTCCGGATTTTCATATACACTCTAGGGGTAAGAGCGGAAAGACCACGTGGAAGTTGGGGTTGACAGATTCGGTTTTGTGATTTATACCTTCTGGTACTAGAGTTTAATCAAAAGAAATGACCAAATATAATATTATAAAAACATTTATTTATATACATGGTTAATTACTTTAATTAGTTCCATAAAAGGATCCTTTTTTTTTCTTTGCACTGACCTTCTCCACAAATATTCTATAATAATATCTGAAAAGTTTTCCAGGTGGTTATAATTGTATTTACTGAAAAATCTTTTAACCACCCGCCATTGCGATTCGATTCTTTGAGTATGAGTGCCATCAGGGGCAACAAATGGGTTCTCAGGATCTGAATGGTTCACCTTCTTGTGAATGTACCCATGTTGGGGTCAGCAGCCTCGAGGGTAGCCAGTCGACCAAGCTGGTTAATAAATGTTGGTTCTCCGCACGTCATCACTTGAGTGCGCTTCTTCTTAATGTACCCATGTTGCCCCAAACAATCATAAGCCCTCCAGAAGTCGGTATGGATTGTGGTGCCCTCAACCACATGTTTTTTAATTAGGGGCACTAGTATGTCCGCTAACCTGATGTTTTCAGGGCACACCTCTAGTCGTAAATCCTCACTTCCATCCTCAATGAGGCCGAGGATCCAGTGGCCCTCAATCTGCCTTCCTAAAATCAACAATAAACAATTTAGAGTTAGTAAATATTCAAGATATTTATTTATTTATTTACTCTATATTGTACAGTGTACACCAAAACCCAATAGTACAAAATTACAAAAAAAAAAAAACAAATACAAAAGTACAAAATTTTATAGCAGAATATGTACAACAGGCTGTCTTATCACTCTGAAACTGATTTCTTCCAGATATTTTGGCTTTAAAAGGTATTCAAATATATTTAATAAAAGGTATTAAAAGATAATTTGGGTTTAAAAGTAAACTTTAAAATAAATAATGTGTAATAATTTAAGACTAACATAGGTTAAGCTAATTTACTAACATATTATGGACTATATGTGGGTCTGAAATAAATTTAAGTATCATTATATTATTATTATAAATATATTGTTTCAGTCTGTAATATAAGAAAATCAAATTACCTTTATTATATTTCCGTTTTCCAAATTTTGACTCGTCTATTTGGACTACTTTTCCTGGGCCACCAATCTTGCCGATGGCCTCTTGTTGCTCTATTTGGTAAATGACGACTGTCTCCCGGCAGTAATTTTTTTTAAAACAGAGTACAGACCATGCTCTATTGCTATTTCTTTGTAATAATTATATTCTTATTTCGTATTCGTATCATTTTTAAATGGATATAACCTCAACACTATAATTGTCGATATCTCGAAAACTAAAGATTTCCGGCATAAAAAACAGCTAGATGATAATTAATAGTGTCATTGCCTGTCAACTAAAGCTAAAATGATCAAATAATTATGTTGTTATTTCGTTTCGTATCATTTTTAAATGGACATAACCTCAAAACTAAAATTATCGATATCTCGAAAACTAAGGATTTCCGGCATAAAAAGCAGCTAGATGGTAATCAATAGCATCATTACCTATCAACTAAAGCTAAAATGATCACTTAAATCGTGCAGCAGATTACTAAAGCCGACCCGAGATGAGAGAATTCCGCCTTGAGGAACGCCAGCAACCAGCGTGCACCAGTCAGAAATAACTGGACCCACGCGAACAGCCTGCTGACGTCCCTGAAGATAGGATGCGAACCATTCCCGCGCTGATGAGGAGAAACCAATGTGAGAAAGTATTGTAAGAAGGATGTCATGATCAACAGCATTAAAAGCGTTTGAGAAATCTATTAAAACTAACACAGTTAATTTTGACTCCTCCATACCTATACGTAAATCTTCCGTAACTTTAAGCAGGACTTTTCATACAAATTGGTAAATAACACGCAATTACAAAATAAATTTGACAAACGATTGATGTTAAACGTCAGTTAGTGTAGGGTTCCGAACATTTTGAAAGTATCGATACCTACTCGATACCAAGTATCGTATCAAAAGTATCAATACTACTTGGTATCGAGTACATTTCGTTAATTTTGGAGACGAAAAATTATGACAAACCAATTAGATGCATAGGAAGAGCTGATAAGTGCAATTATATATGTATATAAAGTAGAATAAAGTTTACTCTATTTAAGTTCCACCTTAGTACTTGTATTTCATTGTTTGC